GGCACTCCAGAATGTGGAACAGCATCCTGCCCATGCCGGGGCTCGGGCACGGGCAGCAGGGACCGCAGCCGCCAGAATCCCCCCCAGGCCAGGCTGGTGCCTCCCTGGCACAGGGAGCCTCGGCAAAGGAGCCTCGGCTGCGGGGGGTGCTGGGGAATCACGGGGTCCTGGCGTGGTTTGGGTGGGAAGGGAGCTTAGAGCCCATCCAGAGCCACCCCTGCCATGGCAGGGACACCTCCCACTGTCCCAGGGGCTCCAAGCCCTGTCCAGCCTGGCCAGGGATCCGGGGGCAGCCACAGCTGCTCTGGGCACAGCAATGCACCCAAAACCCACCCAAGAGATTGGCTCTGCTGGTTGGAGCGTGGTGCTGAGAGCACCACGGGTGTGATTCCATCCCTGGATGTTCGCTGAAGGGTTGGGCTTGATCCTTGTCCCTTCCAGCCCAGGATGTCCTGTGATCTGAAATAAACACTGATGGATCATGTGGAACCTCCCCACTGACCCTCTCTGGGAGCTGGGAATGATCCAAACCCTTTCCTCACAGCCTCCACCCCTAGTGAGAAGGTTCTCATTGTGAAAATGGAAGTCCTGATTCCAAAATAATAGTTGGAGGCCTCTTCTGTCATCCAAGAACAATTTAAATGAGTGGAATTATTCCCAGAGCACAGGAGCCTCCCCCAGTTCTGCTGAGCTGGGCTGTCCTGTGAGAACAGAGCCCAGCTCCTCAGTTTGTTAAGCCAGGGTTAAGTAAGGCCGAGGTTTAGCCCTAAATAGGAGAATCTGTCAATCCCTATCCCAAACCTAAGCTGGGTTTTGTTCCTCCCAGCACATTTATTGCTCTCTTGCAACTTCACCAGAGGCACTTTCTTTGCCATCTCTCAACAAGTGTCTCAAGGGTTGGAGGCAACATCAGGCAGAACCTGGCCTGGCACAGAACTGACCAAAACAAACAGTTTAGCTCCATTCTGGTTTTTAAGAATATGTTCTTTTCCACAAAAAGCAGCTGTATAATATGTGAAGGTTACATGATAAAAAGCTTTAGTGATAACAGAGTTCAACAGTCATTTCCTTGGAGATTTTGCTTACTTTTCCATTAATAATATAAATTATAGATGTCCTAAGTTATAACATTACATACCACTTTTCCAAGGCATTCATGACTTATTTAATCTGGAACTGCATGTTCTTGTTTTTCCATAATGGACATCAAATGCCATGTCAAGGCTTTATTAAACTAACCCTCTCCTAAAGGACTTATTTCACAACATGCAAGTTATTTCTTCATCAAAGAAGATGAGAATAATTGTTACCAAATGAAAACTGCGAGAAATACATGATTGTTCTAAGTGTTGGAGTGGCTGTGGTACCAGATTTGAACATAATCCTTAATTGGAAAGTTATCACTGGCCATGAAATACACAAGAACATTTAACTGCCTCCCACAGTGACCATGAAAATACAGAGACTGATGGTTTAATTAGCAATCCCAGAGATACCAGGCAGTGCTGAAAAGCTACAGCACTCTCAGCATTATTGCAGGCAAGGAGGAGGGACTCCAAGCCTTTCCACCAGCCTGTTCAGCCTTAGGCCCTTGCTGTCAAAGGCAGCAGCGATGATTATGGGCTGGAATTACCAGATTATTTTATATAGGCCTTTGACAACAACGCTGCCTCATAGTGAAAGCTCTGCTTCCTTTCTCCCTTTCAAATGCCTCCCTTTGCTCCAATGCTTATGCAGACTTCAGTCAGAAAGTATTTCTCATTTACATGACCTAGATAGAATAATAGTGAGAAAGATGTTCCTTGATCTTTTTTCTCTTGATTTGCTACATTCAGCCTGGAAGAAAAACACAGTCATGGGAATGCATTGTTGCTTTTATGTTGGCATTAGCAAGCAGTGCTAGGTAGGGTGGGGGATAGATCTAGGCAGAAGCCCTGCAATAAACAGGCAGAAAAACACATGGCACAGCTTTATGGATTGCACAGTTTTGCCTATTTTTTAAAAAATTTCCTTGTTTAGTGACTTTACCCACTTGATCCCACTGCAGTGACCCATGGATGACAGGAATGGTGATGGAGCCTGTCAGGGTGAGGTGATCGCTCAGTGCAGGGGTGAATTCCATGATTTCCTGTTCCAGAGTCATTACCTCAGCAGGCAGAGTGACAACCTGTGTCAAAAAGTGCTCTGAGCTGACTTGAACCGTGGCTCCAGAAATCCATTTGGCCTTTCTGGTGCTCAGCTGGATCCATCACTGAGTCCCTTGGCCTGCCACAGGCTCCTCTCCTGATCTTGCCGTGTTCCTGTGACATTCCCGTGGGTGTGAGGAATAAATCTTTCTGGAAGCAACAAAAGAAGAAGCAGAGGAAATCCCCAGGTAGAACCATCACACTGAACACACCCCTGGGAGCAGTGGAAGGAGCAATTCCCTGGGGTTGGAATGATGCGTGACAAACCAGGGCCATGTGCACTGATCTTTGCAACAGAGAATGAACCTGAATAAATCATCAGGAAAGAGAGAAACTGAGCTTTTTTAACAGCTTTGAATATTTCATTCCAAGAAGTAGAACAAAAAAGTAGATGGTTGTCCTGAAGGTTGTAAAATCCCAGAATACAGGCAAACTGTGACTGGTGATGATGAGGAAAATCACAGAAATTTAATCTAACAGGCAGGGTCTTCCAGCCAAATTATAGCTCCTGCCTGAGCCAGCACCATGAATAACCCTGGGAATAAATGAAAATGCAAACCTTCTTTGGGGGGAGGAGCCTCAGTAACAGGACATGAAGGATTTAGAAGGTTCTCATTGTGGAAATGGAGGTCCTGATTCCAAAATAATAGTTGGAGGCCTCCTTTGTCGTCCAAGGACAATTTAAATGAGTGGAATTATTCCCATTGACATTGATGAGCTTTGAATTCAGGCTTCATCCTCTTTCAAAAATATGTCCAAATATATTAAAAAAAGTGCCCAGTCAAGCCTGGGTAGGAAATGTGAGACAAAGGGGCATTGACAGAATGTCTGTCAAATGACAGGAATTAGGGAAATAGTCCAAACAATCATGAATGAAGATTTTTGTTGTTGTTCAAATATCAAAAATGTCAAAATATCAAGTTTGTACACAACATAGCTTATCTCGAATTCTTCCATGCTGGTACTGAACTTTAAAAAATTAAGAATTTGAAGAAATAATAGCCTCCAAACCACTTGCACAGTTTCCAATAGCTAATAGAAATATTTATTCTCAATTCTAGCCCACTATTGCCTAAAAAGAGAAGTATTGTGCCTTTGAGAGCTTTGTCATTATGATGTCCATTGTAAACAGCTATTTAGACAGAACTGAAGCTACTGAAAGTGGTCTCCCAAAACTCAGAGAGGGAGCTGACATGCTGTTCAGCCTTCTTGAAGGAGAATTGATGTGAATCCTTTTGTAAAGAAGATCTGTGCTCTGAGCACTCCAAATACATCATAGAATACTAATCACACTATTTCCCAAAGCTAAAGAAAAATAAAAAAGGATGGAGTGCATCACTGAGCTGAGAATGGCACATCTCTTTGGAGACGCTTTAGTGGGGGGAAGGATGCCTGTCTGCATCCTTAACTATATCAAAAAGAGCCTTGAAAGGGTGTAGAATAAACTGCCAGGGAGTAGGTTAATATTGGATTTTAGGGAGGCATTCCTCCCTGTGAGGGTGGGGAGGCTCTGAGGGTGCCCAGAGAAGCTGTGGCTGCCCCTGGATCCCTGGAAGTGCCCAAGGCCAGGCTGGACGGGGCTTGGAGCAAGTGGAAAGTGTCCCTGGCCATGGCAGGGGCTGAAATGGGGTGGGCTTTAAGGTCCCTTTCAACCCAAACCACCCTGAGGCTCTGTGATAAAGATTCCATTGATATTTTGTATTCCTCTATATGAGAGAGAGAGAGAGGACAGATCTCAGCCTGGGGACTTCAGCCCAGCCCCAGGGGAGCAGAATATCACCATCCTCTTGCCCTGATGTGCTGGAAAGCTTGGAACAGTGCAGGAGGAAAAGGCACAGAGGAAAGATCACTGAAGGGAAAGGTGGGACTGTGTTGTTCTGCTTTTTTTCTGGTCTTTGAGTTTCTCCCCTTAATATAAAATAGTGGAGCTGCAGATCCCAGGCAAAAGGTTGGAGCCTGCAGCACCTTCTCAGCCACAGGCTGCAGAATTTGTGCTGCATGAGGTGCAGAGAGTCACAAATGGGTCCAAAAAGTGCTGTTTGGCACGTCTCATTGAAATGTTTCACCTTCATCTGTCAGAAGGGTAGTAAACTTCGGGATTAGGAATAATTAAAACATTTTTTTTCCTTCATAACAAAAGGGAGACGTTGACTAATGATCCCAGTACTGGGAGTCAAAATACTTGCTGTACTTGTCTATCCTAAAGTGCTGTAGTAGTACAAATTGCCCCCTCAATGCTGTCTTCCCCTACAAAATGAGCAGCTCATAGGAGGAAATATCCTGGCTCTGAATGTGGCCAGAAAAAAAAAAAAAAAAAAAAAAAAGAGTTTTCTCCCAGCAGTTTTTTCCTTGGGTAAGACTTTTCATACTGTGTTTGACATTCTGAATTACATGATTACACAGTACAAGACTCCAGCAACATTTCGCATTGTAAAGATGGAGCTGCTCAGCATTTTGCCAGATGCCAGGCGATATCCTGACGTTTCTCTCCTCACTTTAAGCCCGGTGACAGTCAGCATATTCACAACGAAGCCGAGACAATCTGCCATCAAGTTCCAGCAGTGCCATTTTCCCCGATGAGGATCCCGGGGCCGGCTGGAGCGGAGCGGGGCGAGCATCGCTGGCTCCGAGCGCGATCCGTGCCTGATCCGTGCCGGGCTCGGCGGGCTCGGGCTGTGGTAAGTAAGTCTGTACTGCACCATTTCCTGGCTCGGTGCTCCGGGTGTTGCAGGCTGTGTGCAGTGGGGGAGGTGCCAGAGCTGATCAAGCAGTGTAATTTTATACATTACTGAATCAGTGCAGGAGGAACCTGGAGGGACAAAGCATCATCTTCTCTTTGAACTGCACTGTAAAACCCGACCGCTCTCGTAGCCCAGCCATGCTCTGATACGATTTTTCTCTCCTTTTTCCCCCGATTTTGGTGTGAATGATAAAGTGATCTGATGATGGCTCTCGTTATGGAACCTATTAGCAAGTGGACGCCCAAGCAAGTAGTGGATTGGATGAAAGGTAGGATCGTTTATTGCCGTGTATTGTCCGTACTTGGGTTCCTGGCAATTTGCATCCGTGCTCTCGCATTCTTTGTTTTGGGAAGAGTTTATTCAGTTCCGAGCATCCCTGCGCTGCTTTTGCCCAGTAGTTGTTGGAGACAGGGCTGAGGAGAGGCTGCTGGAGCTGCGCCGCGCTCTGGGAATTGCTGCCGGCAGCGGAGCAGGGATCAGCTGCATTTGCTGGACAATGCAGACACGAAGTGTTTGTGTCTCACGGCTCCATTATGCCTCGCACAGGGTAACGCCGGCATGTTTGGCTGCTTTAAATTTGCCCTGCTTAGCTCTGGTTTGCTCACATCAGGTGATGTGATGCAGTGGCTGTGCAGCGCTGCTCTGTAGTTTTGGGTACCACAAGGAGCACCAGGAGCCGGGGGCTGGACTGAGGCATCCTGCTCCTGCAGGGACGTGTCCTGCCCTGTGCAGGCTCCTTCGGGGACGTGTCCTGCCCTGTGCAGGCTGCCCAGCCGGTGTGCGAGGCTCCGCGCCCGCGGCAGGGAAGGCGCAGGGCTGAGCGGGGAAACTCGCCGGGATAACTTGACAGGAATGATGATTTCCCTGCTCATTCGCAGCTTCACAACACAGCCGTCAGCCGTGACATGTTTTGCCTGACAATGCTCGGCTGTGCTGCAAACAGAGCGGGATGGATGGGAGGGCGAGGGATCGTTCTGATGATAAGTGGTTTAAATTTCTGCGGAGAATTTCCCCCCGCTGTATTCCCACAGTGGGATGCATTAGTGTTGTTGTACAGTGATTCTGATGAGCCGCCTGTCTTTGAGACAAATAATTCCTGCCACGGGGGATCTCTGTTATATAAGGAGAAGAGGTGCAAATTTGGGGTGTAGGTTACCCGTGGAAATGATTCCTGTAATGTGATGACCGAACTCTATGGGAGGGTTGAATTGGATGCCCACTCGAATGCCCTCAAAGCTTTCAAAGTATTCTCATTAATAGGGGAATGGGTCTGATCTCATTTTGCTGAGCTGCACTTCCACACTTCACTGAAATTGGGCTGTTTTGGTGCTCATCAGACACGTTGCCATTATCAGCTAATTATTCCTCTACAAGCACAGAGTCTTGTGAAGCAAACGGTGTCTGGGGGAATGGATGTACTTTGTTTCCCAGGTGTTTAGGAACTCGGGGTAATTGAGAGGGTTTAAGCAGGTCATTGGGATGGATCCTGAACCTTTAGATATAGAATTGATTCGCCAGCTCCAATGTCATTAGGTGATAGCAAATCGTAATGTATTTGCAGAGGAGTTTGCTGACCCACACCTTCATTCCCAGTACATAAAAGAGTTAAAAAGTGGACAGATCACTCTGCTAATTAACTCCTTACTTGAATTATAATGTAAATTAAGTGTCAAAGCATGTAGAATACTTGTTGCTAAATTTAAAATTACTTCCTGCTACTTTTTTATCCTTCCTGATGCCCAACAATGACATATTGGGGAGCAGTAATCCATGGTGTGCAGTGGAGGAAGGTCACACCAGCAGCAGGTTTTTACAAGCCTGGAGTTGCCTGACAGCTGGATTTCCATACCAGCCTGCACAGTGCACCATCCACAGGGATATCTGGAGTAGGCAGCACTGTCAGTGCTCTGTGTTCAGGCATCAGTAAATACAATGCAGTGAACATTAAAGTATTCACAACGTTGGTATTTTCCTTGGTGGCATGAGCTGCACGTCCACAAACAGGGAAGTTGCTCATTTGTCCATTTCCCCCATGTTAATATTACAAGCCTCCTTTTTGTCCCTTTGTAGATGCATTGTTCAGCTGCAGCCAAAGGAAAGACCTAACCCACACAAATGGCAGAGCAGAGTCAGTTTAAAACTACTTGTAACTACCTTACTTTGCAAAAATTGCCCAACTGTGGCCACTGTGTGCCTGTAATTTCCATGTGTTGTGCAGCTCAGCTCTGTTTGTTACAGTCACTGTGCTGAATCCATGTGCAGGGAGGCTGAAGGTCTGCACAGGCAGTGATTGCCAGTGATAAGGTAGATTTTATGTAGCTCTTCTATTCTGAAAGGTCACTTCTTTCACAGCATCAAGAGATAAATTAAAGACACTTTCAAAAAATTACCACTTTAGGAATGAGTATTATCTTGACTGTAGAGAGCAACATGTTAATAAACAATGGAACAAATATTGCCTCTGTAATATACCTTTGGGGGGCTTAAAAATATGTAGACAATTAGTTTTATTTGTGGAGATTGTAAATGACATTTCACAGGGAAATGATAGCAATGTGCTTTTAAAACTTGCATTTATCATATCCCTTGAAGCCATTAGAACTTATCCCTAAAATCTGCTAGCAAAGCCCATGCTTTGAAACTAACTAGCAGTGAGTACCAGAAGCATCAAATAACTGTAGAGAAGATGGAAGGAAGCCACGAAAATGATGTTAATGGTTTGAGACCCAGGTCCCAGAACGTGTCCTGGTTACAGCATCCCATGAGAGCAGCAGCTGCAGCCTGAGCCCCCCCAAGAGGAGACACCCTTCTGTTCTTTTCCTTTAGGAAATGTTACTTGCCAAAAAAGTAAAAATGGGTAGGCTTTAAGGAACATTGTAATGACAAGTTGGCATCTTGTATTTATCCCCAGCTCCTTTCTCGGGAGCGCACTCAACTGGAATTCAATTAGGGAGCTGCATCTGATGGTGTGGACAACCTGAAAAGGCCATGCAAGTCTGGGGAAATTCATTCCTGAGGCTCTCAGGGGATTCTAGAAGTTAAAACTCTGCGTACTTTTGTCTCTATACAAACATATTTTGTTAAGTTTAGCAGATGCAGCACCGTGGTTAAACGGGAAGGTTTCAAAGGAGCTGACAACATTAATTGGGGAGGTGTTTTTAGCAACAGTTTTTAGTCAGTATTCATTTTCCCTCCCCAGATTTTCCAACATTTTAAACATCTCCAAATGGTTTTCAGGTGTTTTCCCTGGTTACAGCCATTTCTTACATAACTTACCTGTTTTCCTGGAGATGTTTTCTATGGACCCAAAAGAAAGGGGTTTTTTAGGAAAAACCTTTGCCTTGCTCAGGTTTCCCCATTGGAAAACAGACATTGCCCATAAAGCTCCCCAGTGCCTTCAGGCTCAGAGTGTTTCTAACTGGCCCCTTTTCCCTGGATCAGGTTTAACATATTAAATGGGAGTAAATGGCAAGCTGCCCTCCAAGATGTGCATCTGGAATGCTTTACCTGGGGATTTTTGTTGCTTTTTGGTGCAGGAGCTCCCTGTGAAATTCAGGAACACTTTGCAGGTCATCAATGAACACTCCAAACCCAAACCCATCCATTTTAACCTGCACTGAGAGTCCTGTACAGAGTCTGGGGGTTTGGGGTGCAGAGGGGAGCTAGGATGTCTTACTGAATTAATAAAAGAATGAGAGTTTGTGTTTCCATTGGAGGCAAAATCTGAGGGGAATTCTCTGTACTTTTACAAGCCAGAGCATTGGAGATGTTGTACTTCCTGAGGGGAGCAGTTTACAAGTAGGTCATTTAAAATGTGAACTCATTTACAGGGAAGTGACACCTCTGTCCAAATAAATACTCACTTTTCAGAGCAGTCCGAGGAAATGAAATTAAACACAATGCAATGAAATACTGCTGTAACTTTCAGAAAATGCAGTGTTATTGAACAGCTGAAAATTAAAATGGGAAACCAGCTATTCCTTAAGTACCTGTAATAACTCCACACAGAGGCTGTGATTCAAAGTCCTGGGGGCTGACAGGTTTGTCTGCCAAGACAGCCTGCAGTGGAGGTTTGTCTCCTAATAAATGGTCTGCTGTAGATACTCATTTCACAACTGCGAGCCATTTTTTCCCCTTTAAATCCAGAATTTCTGCACCCTCAACAGGAGATGCAGACATAAAAAAAAAAAAAAAAAAAAAAAATTAATTCAGTTGGTAAACTGATTAACTATGCTGCACTGATCCTGTGCAGAATAATTATATGTTTAGCTGAAGGGTTTTCCTTAGCATGTAATTCCCTGATTTCAGGCTGGCTCATGAAAGGGAAGGCAGGGAGGGAGGGAGGGGAGGATGGTGACGTGAGAGGACTCGTTAACATTCCCGGCACATTCCGGGCTCGGCAAACCCCTCTCCCTTTCCTTTGCTGCCCATTGGATCCGTACCTGGGCTGGAGCAGCCAGGGAGCCTCCTCTCTGTGCAGGACAGCATATTTTATCACATCTCAGAAGGTGCTGGAAGCACATCGGGATCCACTGTGGTCCTGTCTCACCCTGTGGTGAGATGCTTGGCATCCCTGGTCCCCCTCCTGCCCTCAGCACCCCATAATGCAGGGGCACAATTCCACCAGGGGCAATTTGGAGCTGGAGCAGATAACCCAGGTCATCCCTTATTTAGAAAAATGTGGGTTTTATAGCATTGGGCACGTTGGGATCCACTGTGGTCCTGTCTCACCCTGTGGGTGCTGAGCTGGGGATGCTGAGCATCCCTGATCCCCCTCCTGCCTCAGCATCTCATAATGCAGGGGCACAATTCCACCAGGGGCAATTTGGAGCTGGAGCAGATAACCCAGGTCATCCCTTATTTAGAAAAATGTAGGTTTTATAGCATCTTCTCAGCTCTTTCCGAAGACAAATAGGTTTGGGAGAGACCTGAGCCACAAATGCAGAATTAGAGTTCAATTTCCAAGCTGTTCTAAAGTAAAGGTTTCACTGTTTTCCTCTGCTCTCACCACTTGTCCAACTGAAACAAACAATTTGCTCTTGTGGCTCCCCCTTGGATTCCTGTGTTCCACTGGCACCACATTTCCAGTTGTCTCTGAGTCACTGAATCACAATTGGCTGCAATCCCTCCCCGGTTTCTCTCACAAGTTTGGGACTTTAATGCTTCTCAGTAATGAATTTTGTGAACAACCCCTGAGTGCTGTAAACTGTTTGCTTTTAAAGGGTCAGCAGAGCTCACCTCAGAGCTGACAGCTTTGCAGTGTGAGTG